GAATGTTCAGAAGCATGAGGGTAAGGAAGAAGTATCATTGGGTGAATTTGGACAGAAAGTTAAGTGTGAGGAGAGAAGGAAAAAGAGTAAGGTAACTCAGTTTTACTGAGGAATAAAGAAAGGCCATGCATAGATTAAAATCAGGGAAAGGAAGAGGCAAAGGAAATGATAAAATTAAAATGGGTAGGAGTGGGACAGGAATAACAGTCTCCAACGAAGCAAATGAGGAAGGAAATTTGTTCTCTCAAAAAGAAAAAGTTAGCTGGTCCAGCCCCATTCCTCATGCATCTGGCAGTCATAAATCATGGAAATTTGGATCTCCTGAGCAAAATTTCTTCTTCAATACTGACTGGCCTCCTGTAGAATTGTTCATGCAAGTGATATCAGATTAACGCTGACCTCATATGTCCTACTTGGTAAGTCTAGATGTCTGCTTTTGCCTGAGCTTGGCCATACTCAAATCTAATCCAAGTGAACACATTCAGCAACCATCATTCCTAGGCAAACAAAAGGAGACCTTCCCTGAGCCACATACCATGTCAGGGCCCTACCTGTCACATGGCCTCAAGCCCAGCATTTCTGTGAGCTGTGGAAGGATGGGGTTACTGAGACATGATTAAGACAAAAACAGTTAATTTTTGCAGTGTTAGGGATGGAACCCAAGGCCTTATGCATGCTAAGCAAGTGCTCTGTATCTGAGCTACACCCCAGCTTATCACTTGTATCTAACAGAACTGAAACTTGAATGTTCTAAGCGCAGAAACAGCTTGTCCTTCCCCAAATCTAACTTTCACTTTGAAGGGCTAGCTCTAATACCGGGCTAGTTGCTGTAAAGCATTAAAATAAAAATATTGAGCCTGAATATATCAATGCTAAAAGGTTCACAGAATTAGTTCAGGGCGAGTTAGTTTTCACAACTGAACTAAAAATTCTAGAATTCTCTAAAAGACAATTTGGGCTTAAAAGGAACATTCTTGAAAGTTTCTCTTTAGCAGAATACATAAAACATTCCAGAAGTTGCTTTAACAATTTCCTTACAGGAAAAAATAGTATCAATTATATACTCTAGATATCTTTGAAAAGGTTTTCTAGTGTTATTTTAAGAGAATGTTAATGGTAGGAAACCATTCCAATTTCCCCTCTTTCTTTCAGAAGAACAAGTAAAGCTCATTTTCAATTAAAAAAAAAAAAACAACTTGGCATAATGGTGTCCTTAAAAATCGGTAATTGCATTCAGTCAAACTGGGTTATAGGCCACCCCCTAAATACAATGAATACAACCAAGACTCCCTATCTCCAGGCTCTTGCCTCTGCCACTCCCACTTCTTGCTCTTTTCTCCCCAGCCTAAAGTGTCCTCCCAGTCCTTCCTCACTAGGGAAATCCCCCCTCCACCTTTTTTTTGCGGTACTGGGGATCGAACCGAGGACCTCATTCATGCTAGGCAAATACTCATCCACTGAGCTACATCCCCAATGCCAAACCACAGTTTTCTAAAACCCCTAGATGTGCTGGCTCCTGGACATGCTTCTTATGTCATGCCACAGATTGTGACCTTACTCTACTCTTTAGTTCTTATACTGCTACTTAGCCTTTCCCTCTGTAGGCCTCATCTGTGCAACTAGACCACAAACTGCTTGAGGGAAGGATAGAGTATTTTATGTCTTTGGATTCTTTTTTTATTGTTAGTGGTGGTTGTTTTTTTGAGAAAGGGTCTCACATTGTAGCAGATGTTGGCTTTGAACTCATTCATGATCAACCTTCCAAGTGCTGGGATAAGAGCACATGTCCCCACACCTGACATGTCTTTGGATTCTTTTTTTTTTTTAGAAGTACTGGGATTTCAGCTTGACTTCAGCAAATACTTTCAGCAAGCACAGCACTCTACAAATGGCCTGAGCCATGCTTCCAGGCCATTTGGCTTTGGTTATTTTGGAGGCAGGGCCTCATTTTTTGCCCAGCCCAGTCTGTACTATAATCCTCCTATTTTAAACTTCCTACTGCTCTGGGGTGACGGGTGCATGCCATGGTGCCCAGCTATTGGTTGAGATGGAGTCTAACCATGATCTTTCTGATCCCAGCCTTCCAAGGAGCTAGAATTATAGGTATGGGCCATTGGCACCTGGTCTATGGATTCTTTACAGTGTTTACAGTATGTGACCCCAAGACAGTGCTCATATTATTGCTGTTTTTACTGACAGGTTCTATTAACAAATTGCCAGTCGCCATAAAAATCAAGACTGGACTCATGGATAGCCCAGAAATAATGTCTGAGTACACTGAACAGCATTACCAAGGCATGTGACCTCACTTAGTAAGTGCTTGTTATGTGCCTGCCCCTCTCGAGTGCTTTACCTGAATGTCTGTGATAACTCTGTGAAGTCGGAGCACAAGCCTAGCACTAGACCAGCAGTAAAGGGGACCAGCAGAGTGTAAGCTGGGAAGAGCCAGGAACAAGAGAAAGAGCTGCTTGAACACCTACTAGTTTTCCTGCTCATGTGCAATGCTTACCTCAGCAAATACGTGAAAAAATAGATAATTATTTCAGCAAATGGGTTCTCTACCTTCTTATGGTTTCAGGTTATTCTTATGTAACTTAAAATATACTCACAAAATGATTAGCTCAAAAAAATGATGTCACCTTTTTTTATCATTAGATATTTATTGGATATATCTAGTTAGAAATTTTCCTTATGCCTAATAGATAAATTATTTACATGATATCACCACCATCATGTGGTTAGAACATGATAAATAAATAACATCAATGGCAGAAATCTCTCACTAGGAATAAAAAGGTTAGTTAAAGCAGAGAGAAACTATAATGCAGAACAAATACTACATGCATCAAATATAAACACACAATCGTGTACAAATCCCAGGCTGGGCAGAGTCCCAATCTGTTAATAAAATCACATTAATTGTTTAGTGGCTTTCATTGTATAATGTCAACAGAGCAGAAGAATAGAACCACAGATAACTGAAAACCACTTTGGCATTGAGACTGGACACAGAGGAGACCTGGAAGGGAATCTAGAAAAATGGCAACTGTAGAATAATAACTGTCGTTTGTTTTCTTATTGTTTTGATTTTTTCATGAATAAATATTGGGGCTAAAAGTGTACATTGTATGTGCCTTTGTAAACACAGTGGGACTTGGTCAGTCAATTCAGATGTTACTGAACAGCATACTGTTGAAGTATTCCAGACAAAGTTGTTCCCCACTCCTATCTGTTCCTCCCCTTCCTATACACCTTTGTCACTAAAACGACACATAGAGTGACTGACAGACTCAAAGAGACTGATCAGTTTCTTGGGTAACATGAAGATAATGAACTGATGTCTAGGATGCTGCCTGGGGTACCCTGTCTTTTAAGAACACACCTGGGTAATATGCCAGGCCCCAATATCAAATTTTCTTGGGACCCCTGGTAGGCAAGCACTGCTGTGTATATGACTTTCATTGAGAAAGTACCTGTCATTTCTAGCAGGGACATGGTTTGGAGGAAGGGGTGAAGTCACTAGCTGCCCAGCACATTGGCCAGACAAAGTCCAAAAATCAATGGGGTGACAGGTGTCAAGGCCAATCCTGGGATGGCAGATTGAGAAAGAAAAGGGCCTAATGTTGTTTTTTTTTTTTTTCCCTTGGTAATACAGAACCTTGAGGCCTTGAGGGTTACCACAAAGATGAATAAACCAAAATAATTCAAAAGCTCCCTACTCCTAAAAAGAAGGTGATTTAAAATGAAATAGGTGTGTTTGGTGCTATGTAAGTGTCTCAAGCTTCACTAAGAAAGGATCAACATGAGGCATTTAAATATGTACTAATTAGCAAATGTTAGATGCTTAACCTTGAAACAAAGAATTAAAGAAGTTGCGAGAGTAATTTTCCTGAAGTCTCTCAGTAATGGTTTGCATCTGTAGGAGCTTTTGTGTTTTATGACATTGCATATTCTAGTTTCACTAAAGGAAAACAAACCAGATTCGATGATTTTATTTTTTGCTCAATCTCAAAAAGCTGAAGGGCTAATTCAGGCCTGGTTATAGCATTCAACTCTCTCAGAGGTCTCCTGCATGTTTGAATAGCTTCTCTTCTATTTATTTTGTGCTGTTTTATCCTGTAAGCTGTCTCAAGGCCCTTTCCATATAAGCAAGAGGATTTGAATCTTAATTTGAAGCTTGAGTAACAGAGGTAATCTGGGTTTGGAGGAGTGGTCTTGAATTATTAGGATAGACATCTTTATTTTCCATTCCCACATTATGTATGTGCTGTATCCACTGCTTAAGATCAAAGTAATAATAAAAGATAATAACAATCACAATAATAATGATAATATTTATGTTTAAGTAGTACTTTTCCACTTTAAGGTCTTATTATTTAGAGTTTCTCATTCTATTCTAGGAATAGTCCTAAGAGGTAAGGAAATCAAGTGTTATGCCTACTTTTTAGATGAAGAAACTGAGTCACAAAAAGATTAAGGCATGCCCAAAACAATGTGGACAACCTGGCTGGCACCAGGACTAGAACTCAGTTCTTCACAACAACCTTCCCATAATTTGGCCAGATGTGTTAACATCTGTATGCTAACATTAAGATTCAATCACATTCCCATGTGATTAAACTTATTGGAAATACCTTTTGATAACCCTGTAACAGGGGCAGCATAAAAGTTCACAGTTATCTTTTTTCTTAAAAAGATAACTAAACAGATAGCTCATGAGTTCAATCTTGGGATTGGAAGTGACAAAAATAAGCAGTGCTCAAATAGCTTTCTCTAGTCTCCTGATATTTTGAAGGAAGGAATAAAAGTATATGTGACCAGTGTAACTGGTAGTTGGTGTTAATTATCATTTAACACCAACATATTTATTCTGTCGTGTCATTTCTCATCATTCAAAATTGCAAGGAGTTGAATTTGTAGACATAGTAAGAAGTAAAAAATAGAGATCACAAAGATACATCCTAACATTAATAGAAACAACAACAATTAAAAAGGCTTACCTTGCAGCCTTCACACGTAATGACACCATAATGGATTCCTGATGATTTGTCTCCACAGATCTTGCATGGAATAATTTCAATTTGAGCTGTAACAGAAGCACGCAACCAGTTAATTACATTTTCTTTTAAACACCTTATAAAAGTGTTCCCTGATCAGCATTTGTATAGTGAAAACTAATAACCTGCTAAACATTATACTGCATTAACTATTCATTGCTGAACTGTGAGGGCCCCCCTAGAGCCCTGGACTAAATTATGGCCGCTCGTTATATAATAGCTTTCGGGTTATTAAAATGGGTCATTTGAGAAGGTGTTTAAGAACCCACAAGAAGACTGGAATCAGCATTTCAAAGCCATCCAGAACTGGAGAGTTCGCAGTTTAGACCTCAGAGAAAAGCAGATACTAAAATGTTTCCTCCAATCTCATTTTCCATCATTACTTTTAAAAGGTCATAAATCTATCTTGGCTGAGCATTGTAGCTTGACCTGTGGAGAAAAACACGCTCCAAAAAGTCAGGCCTACTTAGGAAAATGATTCCATTCCAAATATTAATGAGTTACATAGGATGGCAAGTTTAGAATTCCTTTCTCGTCTTTTTTCTAAATTAATGTAGTTGCCATGTGTTTAAAATTAGTTCATCTGTGTACAATCAAAACCCTTCAACCAGAATGCTAATATCCTATCTGAGTTTAATAATGATGAATCTCGACAAATAGGATATGTTGCTTCTGAGTTTTTTATGTTGGAAATTGATTTCCTGGTAAAGCCTGCATGTGTTTCTAGCCAACTGGTTAAAGATGCCTCATACCAAAAGACTAACCAAATAATTAGCATATTTTACACCAAAGTTCTCTAAGCACTGTCTAAGCAAACACATTCCATCTTGAGTAGCCTTATAAAGAGCATAATTCAGAACTGAAAAAACTTAAGGAATAGATTAGGCAAAAGAAAGTGCTTAGATCATCTATTAAGTAGAATTTCTAAGTGAAATAAAGACCCAAGGTTGAGGTGTACCCAAGATGACAACCAACAGTCACCCATCTACCTGGAATGTTCTACTATCCTAAACTTACTTTCCATGACTTTTTGCCACTGGATATCAACCTGTGAGATTACACACACAAACCAACTGCAAGGCCCCTTCCATTTTATATTTATACAGTTTCTACATAGCTCCATGCCTCACTCAAAGCGGTGACTTTGTTGAGATTATGTCCCATGACGTAAATAACACACATACACACAGCCCATTCTTTCTTCTAATTCAATCTCATATCCTGAGACAATTACTTTGGATTTGGTGCAACGTTGCATTCAATACTTACTAAGAGCACACATGAAGCTACTGAATTTGACCTCATTATAAACCATGTGTCCTGCTGCCTCCCTTTCCAGGGAACTAGCACAGGTACTAGTCTAGTGACTTTCAGGGGAAGCAAGCTATTGTTTTTAGTGCTGGAATCCTGCATTTGCTTATTCAGACTTAGACACTGTTCAAAATCTAACATTCAGTGTATTTTCTGCAATCTGGAGGCCTTCTGATACCCCAATAATGGCATCTATTTATCTATTCTGAGTGATACAATTTACTGTGTTTAAGATTCCATTTAACAAAAATGTCATTGCAAGTCTACCTCCCCATAATAGTGCCTTGCTTGATTTCTTCAAGAAAAATTCTTTATAAACTATAACAATGCCTCATCTTTAAAGACCCTTTATCCACGGTGGTCAGGGAGGTCAGTACTGGGGTTTGAACTCAGGGCCTTCTGCTTGCTAGGCAGCTTCTCACCACTTAAGCCACACCCCAGCCCTCCTCCTAATATTTTAATAGAGTCAAGGGAAAGGTTTGTGCCATAGACTGTCTGTAGCACTAGGCAAACAGTCATGCCTAACATTTTTCAGACTCACAAAAGTCAATTGGTAGTAAAAAAGGTGTCTGAAAGGTGATACCAGCTGAGAGTTATACCTGAATTTTCCCACATGAATTATTGTCTGTGATGAGAACTAGCCTCCTCCACTCTTACCCATAAGGCATAGAATAATCAGGCAACACAAAGAACTTGGACCACCTACTAAACAGGGTTTATATGTGAAATAAAGAAGACCAATTTGGAGCTACTTTTGCCTATATTTCATCTCAAGCGGTAATCACAGAAATTAGAGATACATGAACTGCTTTAGGCCCTGCAGTTTAAGGCAGCATCAAAACCACCTGAGGCAGTCAGAGTAACAATAACCTTAAACTTGGGACTTTCAAGTGTTATCTTCATTCTGTCTTAACAATGGGGAGGTCAAGTCTATCTGGTTAGTTCTTTATAGGAATAGGAAGGCCCTGGGGGGCCATTTGGAGACTGTTAAGTAAAACTTCCTTGAGTCAAATTGGAAATGTATATTGCTGTTCTGTCGGCCATCTATCAGAAGTGAAAGGATGCTGTTTAAGTGAATGGCCAAAACGTCTGCTACTGGCTCTAGTAATCCTATTAATTACAGATATGGCTGTCTGGCATGGTGTTTTGCTTATGATGGGGAGGCCCTGGGAGTCCCATCCTGGCCTTAGCACTGCTGTCCTGGAATGGTTCATGGCCCAGCTAGTTGCAACACCAACTCAGTGTTTGGTGTCACTGTGACAGGGCTGCTGGCCTCAGTCAGGCTCCTTTACCCTTGGTTTTCTGCCTTGCTTCAGTTCCCAGGGTGTTCAGATCTCTAAGATCCCTAAACTGAGACATACTGTACAAAATGTGCCGAGGGTCATGAAAGTTAGAATGAGTGTTCATGTGTCCAAGTGCCCAGACCTTTGTCCCTACTGTGCTTATGCATAGCTCCCAAGGTCAGTGTTGGATAAAGAATCAGAATTAGTTAGAACAAGCTTCTCTAGAATCTCACAGCAAGGGGATAGAAAGGTTTCTCCAAAGCAAGGTTCAAGTATTCTGTTTGGCCAGATTAAACTGCTGTACTGGCCCACCCCCTGCATGACTGTCTTATCTCAGAAGACGATTTCGGTTCTAAGTGCTCTTTAGGAAATGACAAAAATGCACCTGTTCCTAAAACAAGCCCTGTGAATGCCGTCTGATCACACGTTGGTACTTCCAAAGCAAACATTTACAGCTTGAGCAGGGATTTAGTCATCCTTCCATTTAATCCCACAATACACAAAGGCCTTCCCCATCCCCACTTGTATTGAATTTACCAAATCAAATGAATCAATGAGAAAAAAAAAGGTTGTCATTGCCTTGCAAATTTTTCAAAAGGATGGCAGAGTAAATCCCATAAATTGGAGTTTTCAGTCCAACAAGGAAAAAGATAAAAATCCCTTTGCCCCTTGCCTTCCATCCCTCCAGCTTTTCCATTTTCTACCCATGTTGTATCTTCTCAAAAAATATTCTTTCAACACAAATTATGAGTCTTGGCCCACTGCACACATGAACTCAGCCAGCATTTCAAAGGCTTAGTTCTCTCAGACACCACTACTGTCAACGTTCACAAGTATATTGATTAAATTAGTGCACATACATATTCATCCTGGCAAAGAGACTTATTGTGTAGTGGAGTATGAGAAGCAAGACACGTCTATATCATCCTGAATTAGCTGCACAAAGAACAATCTTGGTATGAAAAATTCTAATTTGCCCACATTTTCAGCTCTATTGCCTAAATAATTTGCTCTCTTCTGCAGACTTTCCACACCTGCAGAGACAACTTTCTGACAAGTGTCAGCAGGAAGCTGTGGAATGCAACCGTGCTCATTAACCAAGTGGTCCTTAGGATAGGTGGTCACTTACCTTTGTACTAATCTAAAATATTTGCTTTTTATTTTTAATTATAAAATGGCAAGAACATGGGTACTGATGTTCTCAATACCTCATTTATTCCTCAGAACCTATCTTTGGAGATTTAGCTATCAGTCCAGAAAATAATGCCCAGATTATTAAAATACCTAAAGAATTAAAAAGTAAAGTTGTACAAGAGAGGTACTCATCACTTCATTCTATGGGTGAGTAGTGTTTTCTTGATCACCTAATGGGTTTATAATCACCAGGATAGCTAACATACATCTGTGCTTATAATATGTCAGGCATTATCTTCTCCAACAGCCCTACGAGATAGGCATGGCACTATTGTTCTTGTCATTGTAACCATCATTACCATTATCTGCATCTTTTAGACTAGAAAACTGAAGCTCAGAGAGGCTTAGTAACTTGCTGAAGTCAGACAGCTATCAAATGGTAAAGCTGAGATTTTTACATACATTTTGTTTTTGCTTAAATTCTCATCATACTAAACTGGCAAGCTAAATTATTCTAATATCAAACATCATATTGCTTTTAATATGTAATTATTAACTGAGGATCAAAAGACACCATCTTTTAGGCTAAATTTGTACTCTATTCAGGAGCTGATGACAATCTCCACTTCTGGGAGTTATCTGCCTAGTATATAACTGAGAACAACCATTAACATTGTGGGCTGCCTTCTCAATTTTGCAGAATTCCAGGTAGAATATTTGACCTTGAAATGACTGATGCCAAGGTTTAACAATTCTTAAGGCTGGGCAAATTACTTAACCTCTCTGAGTCTGTTTTGAAGATTCAATGGTACAATGAATAAATAAAAGTTGACCATTTTATACATGTTATCTCTGTATGTGTCTATCACGTAGTTCTTAGATAGTTGACATTCAATAAATAGTAGTTATTATTATTGTTGTTTTTGATAAGGAATCCTGCCTTACAGTGAAATGAAATTCTTTTCTCCAGACTCTAAGCTCTCTCCGAAGTGGGGATAAAGAAAAGCTGCTTATCCTCCAAATACTGTTGTGACAGGCAGTCCCTACCAGCTATCCCAGTGATCCTTCACAACACTGGCACTTAACTGTTTGCTGCAACACAGTGTATGTTGCAATCAGTCTTGGGATGTGTCACAAGAAATTTGTCACTAATAGTAGTAAAAAATTGTATATTTTTATTAGTTCATATAAAATAAACATACTCTATGGACCCAGGCTTACCCCAATATCTTTCATTGTAACTCATTTACATATCATAGACTTTCTTGAATTGGACTAAAGTGGGGAGTGGTGTTAACTGG